AACCATATGCCAGCTATTTGGCAGGCTTTTATTCACAGCAGTATTCGAGCAGAGCGACCACACTCGGGCCCGTTGAAATCACTCTCTAAATCTGGATAATCCAGCGTAACGATAGGCGGGCCCGCCTCCGACTGCTGTCAGCGGCACCGCTGGGAGCTCAGCGGGCGCGGCAGTGGGACACACGGAACAGTGGGACACACAGGACAGTGGGACACACAGGACAGTGGGACAGTGGGACAACGTCGAGAGCCAGACGGTGGGACACTGTCGACGGCCAGATAGTGGGACAGTGGAACACCGTCGACAATGGGACAGCGGGACAGCGGGATACAGTCGACAGTGGGACAGTGGGACACACAGGACAGTGGGACACACAGGACAGTGGGACAGTGGGACAGTGGGACACTCTCGACAATGGGACAGTGTGACAGCGGGACAGTGAGATACAGTCGACAGTGGGACGTTAGGACAGTTGGAGACAGTCGACAGTCGGACATTGGGACAATGGGGCAGTGGGACATGGCCTACACTCAGACAGTGAATAGTGGGACACAACCGACAGTCAGACAGTGAACAGTGGGACACAACCGACAGTCAGACAGTGAACAGTGGGACACAACCGACAGTCAGACAGCGGACCGTGGGAGAGTGTGACAGCAGGACAGTGGCAGACAGTCGACAATGGGACAGTGGGACAGCGGGACACAACCGACAGCCAGACAGTGGGACAGTCAAGCAGGGGCAGGGCACTCGGCTAAGCTGTGTGCTACTGGCGGTCGGAAATACACCGGAGCAGACAGGGCCAGTGCCGCCCGCCGATACTCGATAGGGTAATACACGTCAACAGCACTGCAGCACTGCTGCCCATTGTCAGGTCACCCAGCGTCACGCCGTCCAGGTGGGCAGTGGGTGCTGGGACACTCTGCCGACGGCCCGACAGGGCAGCTCTCTGGACCGTGGCACTCCCGATACGGCACAGCAATCTGATCATCGGCGGTCAGTCGGCGGGCGGCCACCTCTCAGCCCACGCCCGCCCCCGTCCGACCACGTACCGGCGGCTGTCGGCAGATGCCATCTATCTGAGGCGCCGATCTGGCGCTCACCGGTCCCACCCTGCCGGCCGTCAGCAGGGTACTCTGCTCCGAGCCGCCCCCCGCCCCGCAGACACTCCCTCCGAGCGGCACTCCCTCTGAGCGGACACTGGGCGGCCCGGGACTCGGCCCGCCCTCACCTGGCCAGCGAGGCGCGCACCAGTTCGGCCAGCTCGTAGCAGCCTTGCAGCGTGTCCCTGGCCAGCTGGAGCATGGCGCCGCCCTCGGGCGTCGAGGCCGGCTCGTGGCCCAGCACGCTGACCGCCTCCTCCACGTGCTGACCGGCCGCCTCTAGCGCGGCCAGCAGCTGCCGCGGCGGCGCGCCGGCCGCGTGGCGCCGCTGCGCGCGCGTCACCTGCGCGTGGTGCAGCTGGAGCAGCAGCAGGCCGCGCAGCCGGCACAGGCCCGGCTCGAAGGTCTGCGCCAGCCCGATCAGCTGCCGGCAGAAGGCCTCCTTGGCTACCAGCCGGCCCTCGGAGAGCTCGTCCAGCTGGAAGCCGGACACGTTTCCGTAGGCCTGCGCCAGCGCCTGCTTGACGGCCAGCACGTGGTAGTTGGCGTCGTGCAGCGGGGAGGCGGCGTGTCGCGCCAGGAACGCCTCCAGCGCCGGTACGGCCGTCTCGGGGATGGCCTGCCGCTCGGCCAGCAGGCGGGCGTTGAGCTGGCGCACCTGGTCGGCCGGCTCGGCGCGACAGCAGCCGCTGCAGCGCCACGGCGCGTCCGCGTCCGTCGGCTGCTGCGACTCCATCATGCCGCCGCACTCGGAGCACCGGTGGCTGCCGTAGTGCGTGCCCAGCTCGGTGGGGTCCACGCAGCGCCGACACTGGCACCGGAAGTACTTGCCGTGCCAGAGGAAGTTCTGGCGGCGCGCCGTCGGCTCCATCGCACTGACGTACGAGGCGGTGACCTCGTCTCCGGCGGCGATCGGCACCGCGGCGCGCACCAGCATCGTGTCGCCGTCCAAACTCAGCTGCGTGTTGGAGACGCACGCGTGGTTGAGCAGCGAGGCGCGCGCGAAGAGGCCGCGCCGCCGGCCGGCGCCGGGCCGCGGCCGCACCGAGAACGCGTTGACGTCGAGTACGCCGCAGATGCGGTGCAGCAGCTGCTCGTCGGCCTGGACGCCGCAACGGCCGCGCAGGTAGTCCACCACGTGGCGCTGGTTGTCGCGGAAGATGGCCGTGTCACGGCGCTGCTCCAGGTGCGACTCGAGCTGCTCCACCTTCTGCCAGAGGCGCGGCTGGTCGCGCAGCAGCAGCACCCGCAGCGGCAGGATGCAGTCGTAGCGCGCGCACGGCTCGGTGCCGGCCGCCGGCCGGTCGCCGGTGTCGCGCGCCAGCACCTGACACTCGGCCGCGTGCGCGGCGCTGTCGGCGCACCGGTCGCCGCAGACGGGCCAGCGGCAGCGCGCGCAGGAGGCCGCGCTGGCCGCCAGCAGGCCGCCGCAGCCCAGACACTGCGGCTCGGCCTCCAGCTGCGGGCCGGCGGCCAGCGGCAGCTCGCGCAGCAGCAGCTGCCCGGCGGCCAGCGCGCGGCCGGCCACCGTGTAGCGGCCCACGCCGGCCGCCTGGCGCACCGTCAGCGGCTGACACAGCGGCCGGTGCTGCTTCCAGTCGGCCCGCTGACACTGGCGGCCGCAGTAGAAGGGCACCGAGCAGCCGGCGCATCGCTGCTCGGCCGGCGCGCCGCAGCGCGCGCACCGCGCCGACATGGCAGCGCCGGTCCCGCCGAGCTGCCCGTCTGCAACAAAACAAACCTATTAAACGCACATCAATCTAATTCCCATGAAAGCAGATGGTGGCTAGCTGGTTTTAATGATCCAGTTTTAATAACGATGATTGGGTTTTCAGGGCGCCGGCCACACTGTATGGTTATCAGCGGCCACCATATCGGCTTTACGATGTCGGCGATGCCCCGTCGGAGCGCACACAATGCATCCTCCTGACGTTTACCGGTTTACAGCTGGCCTGTTGTCCCCCGCTGCATGACTTGTACCCGTGAGTTACGACACGTGGGGGAAACTAACGAGCCCGGGAAACGGCCAGCTTGTCCGGCTCTCTGTCAAAGCCGAGCATTATCGGCGCCACCGGGCGCCTTTCAGCGTGCCCGCGCAATCAGTGGGCTGTTACGGCCGCCCGGACGGCCGCCGGCTGCGAAGGCGTCCACGCGCCCCGCCGTCCCTCCAGCCTTGCAGCCGGTCTGGCAGCTCACCGGCACAGCCGAGCGCCGCCCGCCGGCGCCGCACCCACAAACTGCGGAGCGCGGGCCACCTCCGAGCGCCTGTAGTGTCATCTAAGAGCAGCTCTCCACGACGCTCACATCAGCTAGTAAAACTCTGCGGACGAAACACGGCAAAAAGCCGAGGGACTTAATCAGAGGTCGATAAAATGCTTGGAGTTGCTCCAACGAACATCTTAGTCCCATCACTGTCTCCAACTTAGCCCTCGCCTGGCGGGAGGGGGGGGGGGTGCAGCCTCCCTAAGTTTTTTTTTTCGCGAATAGCGTAAAAGGTGGTGTCGCGTAGCGCCGCAAAATTTGGCACAACGTCTGGGAATGAGCCTCTTGCGATATATCCTGAAAATTTCAGGTGCCAGTCATTTCAGGACCTGGATTATGACTATGAAAAGTACGACCAGTATTGGTACTCACACCTTTCCTTTAAATTAGACGGATAAACAGGCGCCATGCCTATAAATTTGCCCAAGCAAATGATATGCTAGACGAACAATGCATGCACAACTGTCTAATCACTGCCAATTGCCGCGTCGGCACACCGGCATCTTCTCACCTTCTCCCCACACGGCCTTGACTCCCCAACTCACACCATCACACTACTGCACACGGTGACCGGTCACACGGTGGATCTGAATGCCTACGTTTTCATGCCAAAGTCTGAAACAACTAACGATTATCATCAGCGTAGAAATGTTGAAATTTAGCATTTTAAAGCTTTTAACTTAAAACTTTATAAGTGTGTTTTAACGCACTTGTCCTTATTGATTGAGAAAAGAGCGCACTTTTGATCGTATTACCTTATACGAAGTAACGCAATCGAAGTGTGATTCCGGTCCACTGTGCGTTTTCAGGCGCGCTCGATAAAACACCCAGGCCTGGAGAAAGTTGGAAGGGTGATTTTCTGATCCTCCTTACCACAAAATGACCCTAAGCGAAAAAATGCCCGCGGGGCGCTGCCAACGCGGGCCAGCGGCCCTGCTAGTAAGAGCGAAAATCAATGCATGTGTATGCGGAGCACACCCTTAGCGCTACGATGGCTCCTTGGAGACACCTGGAGAAACCTCTGCCGGCAGAAGGGTCAGGTCCCTCGCAGACGGCGCGGCACGGCGGGAGCTTAGCGGGTGGCCTAGCCGGAAAGAGGATAAAAATAGCCGACTGGCCCGACCCAGCGAGGGGTGACCGAAGGGTGACCAGGAGTGAATGAGGGAACATACACGCGGTACCGAGCAGCCGATAACAGCACCGGACGATTAGAAAGTCATAAGTCAATGCTGTATTTTAGGCGTAAGGAAGCATCCATGTAGACGGGCGGACTGTCTCCAGCTCTTCCAAGTATTGCTAATATCTTGCTCCAACGAGCGTTGACACGTTGGAAGTTTTATCGACCACTGGACTTAATACCCTCAGCTTTATGACCATCAATGCAAGTGGAAGTGCACATTTGGGCTAAATTTAGAAACGGTTTGCTCCGCACGCGCATAGCGTGGATGTCTTCAGGAGAGGGAGGGATTCATTACCCTTACGAGCGGCGCTCATGGGACCGAGGCACCGAGCAGACTGGTGGGGCTGGGGAGCGATACGAGAGGCCTTAATCGCGGGCTGCAATGCGTTATTGTGCTGGTTTTAATTGAATACTCACACGCTTCTGCCGGAAATTTCAGTAAATAGCAATTAGGAACTTAGAGAGGGCAGCAAGCATGGATATCAGCGTAGGTAGATGGGCTTGGATACTCTAATGCATGGATTTCGATCTTTTCCGTACTCGGAAGATTAATTATTGTTTTCTGATTGCGCCGTTGGCGTAAGACAGAAACGATGGCGTGGTCACTGCGGCTGGGCAGCAGCTCAGCCGGCGGCCCCTGCAGCTACCCCGGGACTGTCCTCAGTACCCCAGCCGTGTCCCCAGCACCCCAGCCGTGTCCCCAGCACCCCAGCCGTGTCCCCAGCACCCCAGCCGTGTCCCCAGCACCCCAGCCGTGTCCCCAGCACCCCAGCCGTGTCCCCCGTACCCCAGTTATGTTCCCAGCGCCCCAGCCGTGTCCCCAGCACCCCAGCCGTGTCCCCAGTACCAACCCCAGCCGTGTCCCCAGCACCCCAGCCGTGTCCCCAGTACCAACCCCAGCCGTGTCCCCAGCACCCCAGCCGTGTCCCCAGTACCAACCCCAGCCGTCTCCCGACTCACCGGTGAAGTGCAGGGCGCGCCCCCGGCCGGTGATCCAGCTGTCCGCGGAGGAGACCACTGCCCACGGCTCAGCCCGCTGACGGAACGTGAGGCGGGCGCCGCGACCCCTGCCGGCGCCTCCGGCACTGGCGCCCGGAGCCCGGCCAGGGGCGCGCCCAGGCGCCGCGCCGCAGCGGCCGGCCCCGCTGCCGGGAGGCGGGCGGAGCGCCGCTCGTGGAGCCGCGCCCGCGCCGCCCCTGGCCGTGGTAAAATTAGGCGCCGTCCGCCGCCCGCCCCTGGCAGGACGTCCCCAGCTGAGCGGCTCCCGGCGGCCCGGCCCGCCCCCCCCCCCCCCCTTCCGCCCGGCGGCACGGCCCCCCCCCACACGGAACTATACCGCCTCCCCCTCCCGCCCAGCGGAGCTGTCAGCACTGAGCTACTATTCACGTTGGTAAATGAGTTTCATTTTACCTGTATTGTATGTAATGTACCTGTATTGTACCTGTATTGCACAAGTACGCTGCGTAATATACCACTTTTATCACATAAAACACAACCCACACCGGGTGGAGGGGGCCGCTCAATTAGCTCCCCCCCCCCCCCCTCCTCAGTTTCTGGCACATTCAAAAATAGGAGAATGTCCCTTATAGAGGGGTTTTGCCCGCTGGAGACTAAACCATTGGCTATAGTTCAAAGCTGAGAGCACAAAGGTGAAGCCTGCCTGGTCAGGACCCGGTGAAAAGCTCGGCCGGAGTGCACCCTTGAAATGGCATGCTCCTTTACCAACGAACGGAGAGCTGCAAAGGAACATCACAAGTAGACATGCCAGATTGTGGGCTAGTTTGACTGATATAATAATCGTCATGCATCAATTAACCCTCGCCGGACCTATTGGTGTTCTACATACGCGCCGGCCGAGGGGGGGGGGGGGCGGGTACAACCCCCATCGCCGTTTCGCCCCTGGCGAAGCTAGCGCGTCGTGGAAAAAACGAGCGTGTGCGCCGTTACGAGACGCAGAGATTGGTACCCGATTTTAAGGTCCTAGGTCAACCGGTGACCTCTGAGGTCAGGTCAAGTGCCCCAGGGTACGGTTCAGTTTTTGGTCAATAACTTCGCAAAAACGGCCGCAGAGCCGCGATTTTGGCAGCATCGTGTTCGCCTTGCTTAGGCGCGTCGAATGATATACTTTTTGTTCGGGTCAGGTCAACTTGGGGTGTTGACCTCAGGTCAAGGTCAGGTCAGCACCCCCAGGTCACGAAGCTGGTCGAAAGAGGTCATGTCGCATATCATTCGATTTGGCAGGTCGTCCTGAGTCCATTGGTGGCTTCCGCGACTCGCTAGCTCAATTTGATCAAGAGTTATTGACGAAAAACTAATATGACCTTGATGACGTCATAAATGACGTCACGCAAGGTCAACATTGCAAAAATGACGCATCTAACCTTCTAAGGAGTACATCAAATCACGATTCTGTGTGCTTGAGATAGTTGGAGATCGTTCCCGGCGCCAGAATAGCAGTTTTCATTTTCCCCATTGACTTATAATGGTGAGGTCACGAAAATGACCTGACCTCATATGACCTTTAGGAAAAATCCGAGATATACAAGTTGTGAGACTTATAATGGATACTAGATTCTGCAAGTTTCATTTCCCTGTGACATCTCCTCTGGCAGTGAGGGTGTTGCGAAGTTGCGACATCTGAAGACCGTGCAGAGGTTCACTTATGACGTCATAGGTCAGTGACCTGACCTGACCCAAAAATGCGGTTGGTGTCAAAAGATCTGGCTTGAATCAAAGGTCAGGTATGCCAAGTTTCAGCACTCTATCGCCAGCGTGTTCGGAGCTATCGCGAAAAAAAAACTATGGGGGGCGGCCTATGGGGGGCGGCACCCGCCCCCCCCCCCTCGGCCGGCAAGGGTTAAGTGTGCTGTTAACCCGCGCGGGGCCGTTGCTCGGCGCCCCTGCGCCGGGCCGGGGACATTTGAACACCCCCCCCCCCCATCTAGTTTGGCCCCTGCACTGAGAAAACAGTATCCCCATTTTCGGTCTCAGAGACCAGTTTTCGGGCTAATGTACCATATTCAAAACAGACAGCACATTTCGAGAATACTTTCTGAGCAACGCCACATGGGCTCATACGATCCCTGAAATCGGTATCATTGATCGCAGAAACAGAGCTCAGTCAGTACCCATTATCGGTGTCAAGCTCTAAAACTAGTCTCACTATGATACCAGTTTTCAGCCTGATCCCCATTTTCGAGCTCACCTGATTCCAGTTTGAGGGCTCAAATTGTGTGGTGAAGCCAATATTAGGGCTCACCTGATCTCGCTTTTCGGGG